AGGAGGAGGAGGAGTGCATACTTCGGTGGGTCGAGGTGGCCAATCCGAATGCAGTCACATGCCCTCAAATGCTTATTGGTTTTGTGGGTGTTCTTTGGGCGAAATTGCCTCCACTCGAGTGTGTATCCACACTTGACGGTTGCGGGCACATGTGGATGGGTTTCATAGTTGGAAATGCGATATTTATGATGTCTGGCAGTGCGTCCACAAATGATGTGTGCTTTGGCATGGCACTTTGCTTGCACAGCATTTTGACCACGAGACTCCTCCTTCCCGATGCTTGTGGAGTTGTAGTTGGAATTGTAAGGGGAGTTGTTGTGTCAGTGTGAAGGAGAGAAGGGAAGGTTGGATGTATTGAGAGGACAAACTCGTGTTTGATTTGACTGCATTGACTGAGGCATGCAGGAGTCTTGATCAAACTTCAAATGAATGAATGATGGATGGATGGATGGATGGATGGATGGTTGTGTGCATGAATGAGTGGGGTGAGTGGAGTAAGTGGGTGAATGCGGACATTGGTTACCAGTTGTTTAGCAGTGTCACACATATGTGACACGTGGATTTGCATATTCGTGGCTGCATCTCAAGCCATTACTGCTTCCCTTTTTTATCACCAAGTAGTCGGGAGTAAGAATAGGTCACCAAAGACCAACCAAATGTCGATCAGGTTCGACAAAATTTGCCAGGTCATTTCTGTATTAGCTTTAATATCAGGTAGGAAATGATTTTGCCTCCCAGTCAGCCGGTCGGTCTTCCTTCCACCTTATTTTTTTCCCTTCCATACATTCGTGTTCGCCAGGAGTAAACAATCTTGGCTTGGTTCTCTTCCTTTTTCAACAGCCATCTTCACCAGTTTGATTTATTGGCAAGTCAGCTATCACGACAAGCGAGGGAGGGAGGAGGCGAGAAAGGAAAGATCTGGGGTTATTGCCAGAGCAAAAAGAAGGAGGGACAGTGGGGTGGCATCAGATGGATGTCTGCCGTAGTGAGGCGAGGTAAAAAATTTGACGGTGGGTAAATCAAATATGTCTCTGAGTCATTGTCTACACTACCTGGTTCCTGCCATCTTCCAGGGATCCTTGTCTCTTTTTGATTTGGACAATTTTTTTTGTAAAACTATTTGGAGGATGGGACCAAAACCCCCTCAGTCATCCCTCAAGACGTAAAAAGGTGTTGTGTTAGTGAAGGAAAAGGTTTATTACTGACTGGCAGAATGGATGAGAGGCTATAAACGTGGGTGGAAGCTTTATGCCGTTGCGATAGTAGTAAAATCTACAGTGGTTCGAGGACCTATGATGTAGAAGTCGTTATTCGAGCTGCCGTCCCCTCACCTTCCATGTGACCACATTTCTGCCTCAACCGAGATAAGCTCTTTGGAAAATTGCAGTCAAAGACGAGACGGAATTGAAGATGATGTGATCACCTAAGCCTGGTTTATGGAAAGGTCACACTCTGTTACACAAGTTAGAGTAAATGCTATAAATTTGGCTGGGGTTCCTGAATACCATGACATCCATCCATTCATCCATCCATCCACCCGTCCATCCATCCAGTATCCACCCACCCATCCATCCATCCCGTATCCATCCATCCCGTATCCATCCATCCCGTATCCATCCATCCCGTATCCATCCATCCCGTATCCATCCATCCCGTATCCATCCATCCCGTATCCATCCATCCCGTATCCATCCATCCCGTATCCATCCATCCGTATCCATCCATCCATCCATCCATCCATCCATCCATCCATCCATCTACCTATGCATTCTCCTATTTGAAGATTTGCCCTTCCATTCAGTTCTCAGAACAAATTGTTTAAAATGAGTGAATCCGCTTCCAAGCTAGCTGAGCATCAACCCCTATTTATCTAGCCCACGATCTGAGCTCCGACCTGTGCCTTAGGTGACTCGTGGCCCACTTTTGGTTAATGGCCAAATCGCCTGCCAATATGGAAGTTTTTGCCCAAACTGACAACTGGCTTTCAACGTCTCACAATTTGCCAGTCGTTAATCCCATTTTGACGTGTTCTGGCAGGTGATGGGATTACCAGGAGTCGTTTGAGCAGGATATCGCTGGGCATGTGGACACCTCCTTCAAGTGGTTGGGACATGACATTTGCCAGAAAATTCCCCAATTTGGCACGCACAACTCAAAATCGCTGAGTTCCTGCTTGAGAATGAGAAGAAACGCACATCTCAGGCTGAATAATGGCATGAAGCTCACCTCCTTCATGGTATGACAGGCCCTTAGAAAGGCATTTTACTGTTGTGCGTAATTACTCATCCACACACCGGTTGAGGATGAATGATTTACGGGTTTTTAAATGAAGGCGGGCCTAGAAAGTCAGGGATGTCATTTAATAATTCATATTGATGTATGGCTACGCAAAAGTGAGATTTTGACGAGGACCTTTTTAACAGCCTTTCCGCCTCACTTTGAAGGTTCACTTCCGCCCAATTTCAAGTTCCCTCAAGTCAGCACTGATTTATACAAACAACTGACACATTGTTAAAGCCAATTTTTTGAGTTATTCGATTGCCAGAGGCAGAGATGGGTTCGAGAGTGAGGCTGAGGAGCATCTCCTCATTTCAATAGTGGTTCCTTCTGCTGTTATTTTGACAAAGAATTCCCCCTTTCTTGATTTAATTCGAGCGCGAGTCCTTGTGATCACCATTGTCTCCACTTTTATTGAGGGGAAGGGGGGGGGGGGAGGACGAAAGGAGCACACATCATAAAAGAAGTGTACATTTGTCGATGACTTTCACCTGTCCCCTTCTCCCTACTTCCTCACATCCACGTATCATTTGCCCGTCTGTCTTTGATACATCCACTGATTGCTTCATTTGTCCAACCATTTATTTAAGTTTATTTATTCGTCTGGCCCATAGCCCCTCCCTCGGCCATTCTTTTGATCATCCATTTGGAATCCACCCCTCACTCCATTCATCTAGCCACCCGTCTTATCATTCCGGATTCTCTTCGCCTTTTCTGCTCTTATCTGTCTATCCAATAGTGCCGTACCTTCCTTCAAGCTCTTCTAGATTAATCAAACCTGAAACTCTAACCCGATCTCCGGTGGCTCCCTCCGCCTTGGCTTGACTTAC